TTACTCAGCAGGAGTATTGTTAAGACACCAAATTAATGGTCAAGATAACCATTTTAGAACATGAAAAAGGCATCTCCTTATCGTGCAACATGCCTTTTTCATAATTTATGAACCTTATCCCAGTACAATATCACATTTGTACTATTTTTCTCACATTTTAGAACAGTAAAAAACTTGAGACAATATGTTTGAATAACATTCCCTTAGATGGTATGGTTAAAATTGTAACAATTATATTGAAGCATTACGTCTTTGGTTCAATTTCTACAATGTAACAAGGTTTGGTGCTCAACAGTAAGGGGGAAAAAAGGCTTGCTTAGGTCAATAATGGAGCTGTTAAGCCCTTCCAAGTAAAATTGCCTCCAAAAAGTAATTTGGTATGGAGGAAAAAAAAAGTTCTTTGAAATTACCCAAAGGAGTAGTAGGTTTTATTCTAGATATAATATGGGGGAAGTGAAAAACCCCCTCAATAGATCAAATAAATGGATTTTTCTTCCTCCTTCCTCCCTGTAGTCACTCCAGTTAGTATTTATCTTTCCCCTCCCCCTGCCCCCCCCCCCCCTTTTTTTTTTTAGAATAAATTACAATTTAGAATATTGATTTAGAAACATAGGTAACATGACCAAGTACTTTTGTATAAAGATGGTAACAATAATTGAAACATGGCTTATTTAAATTTGGTCTTGTTACCTTTATGTTTTTAAGTTGTTATTTAGGTAGATTGCAGCTACACCTCCCTTAGATAAATGAAACTGCCACATTTGCTGGAACATGTCCATTTTTCTGACTGTATCAAAGATAACACTATATGGATGACAATGTATACAAGCAACATCTGATACACTTGATGTAATATGAAATTTCTATATTTTGTAATTTTTTAGACTATCATTACAATAGTTAATATATAAAAAAAGGATTTGGCCAATTCTGAAATAATTAAAAATCAACGAGAATAGTTGATATTTATTCCGATAGATGGTGCAAGCCATCAGCAACTTTTAGTTGAACAATAAGGAGATTCCTCTTTTTTTTTTTTTTTATAATTTATGCACCTTATCCCAGTACAAAATCACATTTGTACTATTTTTCAAATAGTTAATATATATTTTTAAAATTTTAGGATTGAAGGGTTTTTAGATTTCTTCATTGGGGAAATTCCTCACCAGCAGGCTAAAACCATCTAGTTATAGTTGTGTATGTGGGGAGCTCATTTTCTGATTGGCTGATGGAAGCATTTGTCTGTTAGAATGATGTCTCATCAGTTAAAATTCTCACCTCTCCACTTCATTGTTTATAAAAATTGAAACTATAGATAGAACTGTCCATTTCTTTCATTAGTTAAGCTAAGTAATAATTCTACCCTATCAGCCTGTAGATTTTACCAGTGTTTTAAATTATTGACATGTCAACATTTTGATTTTTTTTTTTGCTTATCCCTAGTACACGTGGTACAGGCCATGATAATCATGGTGGGTAGAAGTTGGCGACTGCTTTTTACTGTAAGTGCACCACGTGTCTACACACATGGAAAGCAGTTTGACTTTGCACTTACACATTTTTTTCTTTAAATTGATACACCTGATAACAGAAACTTGCATACCCAAGGACATTATATAATCTAGTGAAAAAAATCAATAGCTGCCTCAGGTGAAATGAAAGATTTGTTGAAGTAACTTTTTATTTAAAACTGGAGAGGGGAGATAAATAATTATCCTATATGTGTGAGATGTAAGCGACAATATGAAAATGTTAAAAATGGTTTATTCTATATCTTTTCAGTATTTCCAGTCTTGTTTTGATAGAACTCTTTATTTGATACCCAATTGCAAGCGTAGGTGTCCAGAAAATAACGCAAGTTGCTGTTGACACTGATACATTAAAGGAATATTGTTTTTTCCCCCCACACACTAGTAATTGCATGGCTGTGTGAAATATTATATTGTTAAAATATATTTTTGTGCTGGCTGGCACATGTGTTACATGCACTTGGAATGATGCAAGCTTTCCCTCGGTAGTTGGTTCCTCCTTGCATTGCTTTGCACATTTAACATTTTCTTTCTTTCTCCCTTTTATAGACACTTAAAATAGTTCCATTTTGCTGTCCTTTCCCCCCATCTTCCTTTACATAAAAAAAAAAAATTCCTTAATCTATTCTAGATTTGTTTGAAGGGGTAGGGGGCATTAAATGTCAATATTGTGGTGCTCTTTCAGAGTGCATTGTCCACCATCTGGTTAAAAATAACTTTATTGTCTCCTCTCCTGGCAACATATCGTTAGAAGATAGATACTCGACAGTGTTAGGTGGATGGCTATCTCTATTCCTTTCTTCCAAACTTCCTAACTCTTTCCTCAATTCTCAGTTTTTCATTCAATGGCTATTATTTGGAATAGCCAGGTAATAGGTGTCTGGATCGAAGCTGGGTGACCCCAATTAAAAAAAAAAAAAAGAAAATGCCACCAAGGAAGAGTAGATTTCTATAAAGGATGTAAAAAAAAGGGAGAGTAGGATATTTTAATAAAGTCAGAAATGCTATTGATAGAGCAGGCTAATCTGCAAATAGCCCCTCACCAAAATAACTCTGCTATTGTTTCTCCTCCTTTATCCCGATAATAACAAATGGCTGGCTCGCCTCACCCCAATACTTCTTAATGGGAGTATTAGTTGTGCATTTTACTCTTACTTTATTTGGGGGCTTTATATTGTTGTTTGCTGTGTGTAAGGCAACCTGAATGAAATCTTTATCTCCATACTGGGTGAAGTAGAATGCCTTTGTAATTAAGACTGGGAGCACTACTCAGTGGCAGGCCGACTTAGCTCCAAAATAAATGGCCGCCTCTGACATGAGGAACAGATGCCATGTGCAGCCGCTCCTAACATGGAGTACAAACGCTGCTCATCTGTATCCCTGTATTAGGAGCCCTAACAGGGTACTATCAGCTGAGCCCAGGTTTTTTTAGTGAGCTTGTTACTGCTCCCCCTCCTCCTTTTTCATCTGGGCTTGGGACCAGCAAGGGCGGAGTTAAGTGAATGAATTACTTGTGTGGAGTATACTAGGTTGTGTCCATGTATAACTTAATTTTTGTACTTTGTGGATATTTGTTTCATGATAGTCTCGATGTCAATTTAACCCCATGCTGCTAAAGAGGGCTATTAATGGCTTTATGTTTGAGGATGATACCTGGTTGTTGTCTTTCTTCAGTGCCTGGATTTTAAAGACTTATCACTAAGGTAGAGTTGTACCAACAACAAAATTCATGTTGTGATGAGACAAGAGAAAATGATGTGTGTACCCATGATGGGAATAAGTAATATATGTCCAGTCATTGTTGCTTGCGCACCTCTACCACTTAATTTTGTAGGGAAATTGTGAAATTTCTCCCTCGCTGCATCGACACTTTTAAATCTCTTGTAACGAGTCCAGTGGTAGTGTTTGGTACAGGAAGATTGAAGGAATGCCACAGGCAAGTATCTTTTTTTAAAAAAAGTTTTTTTATAAACAAAATTCTGGTACTGGTTTCCTTATTAGGATGTTAGAGGAAAAAATAAAACCTCTCCCTACAAATGTGAGCAAAAAGCTTCATTTAAACATTTTTTTCCCCCTTTGTGTCATCCAATGTTTAAAGAGACATTTAAAAATACCTTCCTGTGAAACTAAAATTGAACCTCCATGACAGGATACCTCTCCTAAAAGACACTTTTGGCTCTGAAGCTAGTTGTCCTATTACTAGTTTTACTACTCTGTATTACAAGAACAAAACAAAAAGAAACAATTTTCAATCCTTTCAATAAAGTTTATATTCACTTTTGTTATTTATACAGGATTGCAGATTTCGACAAATTACAAAAAAAAAAAATCCTAAGATGCCGCAACTATTTTTATTTACTTGATTAAAGGAAGCTTTTGGAAAAGCCCTTCTTCAGCTAACTGAAACTTATAATATTTTAATGTTTTAGTTAGCTGAAGGGCTTACCTGAAAGCTTCTTTAGTCAAGTAACTAAAAAAAGAGTTGTGGTTAAGATTTTTTTGTAATTCACTCTTGTATTCTCTATCTTAAAACTTGTCAAAGACAATGTACATTGTACATGTACATTGTATGCATAATCCAACTTGGACTCTAGAAGTAGAGCTAATTCTGGCTAGATTTTGCCCCCAACTTATTTTAAATATGTGCGCAACAATGCAGGCGGAGGGGTTTTGTAGGATTAGTTGAGTCAAAAGTTATTCTGGGTTTTTGCGTGGTGTGACGTGAGGCCTTGAGAAGGATTTCAGAATACATGCCAAGGCCCCCAGTGATCATGTAACACTGTGTGTTTGCGCATTAATAAATTTTTGCACAATTTTTCTCTCTAATCTGCTGTCTCTATCGTCCCAGGATTCCCATGTGTCAACCTGATGACAGATAATGGCTGATAACCTAAAACAATTCTATCAAGGTGATGTTAGCCAAGTCTGAATAAAAAGGGAATTTCTTCAATAATTTGATGATAGGGCAAATGTTGCCCAACTGTCACTTGCTGGTGGTATCATTCTTTGGAATAAAAAAAAATGCCTCAATGCGCCAATTCTTGGAAAAGTCCAACCCCACCAGCGAGTGCAAGTAACCAAACGGGGCTATGGCACATTTGTAAGTGCAAAGTCTAACAGTAAAAAGCAGTCTTTAACTACCCACCATGATTATCATGGCCTGTACCACATGTACTAGGGATAAGCAAAAAAAAAAATCATTCTTTGGTCTTAGGTTACATGTGGACATTCGAATTTACAGCTTTATAAACAGATAATGTAGGTCAGATACAATTTGGATTATAGATTAGAACTACAATAAGTCCAAATCCAAATAAATTAATAGTTTAGTAGTAACAGCCTTGTTACCGAAATGTCACAATTTATTTGAATTTGATCTTGTTAGTTACCTTGTAGTTCTAATCTATAATCCAAATTGTGTCTTATCATGGATTATAGATTTGAAACACAAGGTAATAAGACCAAATAAATGTCAGGATGACCCGAGCGGTCTAAGGCGCTGCGCTCAGGTTGCAATCTACTCTTGTAGGTGTGGATTTGAATCCCATTTCTGACATTTTTTTACACACTATTTAGAGGTTTGGTGGATTTAGTTTTATTGTGTAAGTGCAAAGTCGAACTGCTTTTCACATGTGTAGACATGTGGTGCGCTTACAGTAAAAGCAGTCGCTAACTACCCACCATGATTATCATGGCCTGTACCACGTGTACTAGGGATAAGCAAAAAAAAAAGGTTTATTGTGTAGATATAATGCAGGAAAATTAAATTGAAAATGAAAAAAGATCAAATGCTTGTTTCAAAGAGGTTGGTCTGGCCAACATTCACCTTATTCTTATAGATACTGTGACCAGTGAAACATTTATGCTGGTTACTTCAAAATGTTTATAGTGTATAAGCACATGCCTAATTATCAGGCTAATAAAATTATAGAAAACACCAAGGTTGCGTATGGATTTGTAAATATTTCATCACCTTATCTTTATTTTGACGATTTGGCAACCCACTGTCAGCTATTTCAAGGAAAGCTAAGTACAATGTTTGTTTCTTACTTACATGATGGCACTACAAGATGTAACATGGGGTTAATGTCACCACAAAAGAGAGGATGTGGATTGATTGACCCCAATCCTGTTTGGCAGCAAGAGATGGATGGATAGGGTGGGTGGATGGAGGAAGGCCTCAATTTGGAAGTCTTCTGCCCACGTTGGCCTGCCAGATCTCTCTACAGTACTGGTAGATAGAGATAGAATCTATAAAAATCTAAAATTTTGTAAATGAATAATAGTCTCTATTTTACCATTAATGGGTACCATTTTTCAAGTAAATGTTCCATCAATGATAAAATATAAGGGGTTGCTTGTACCTAAGTACATATGGTAATCAAGGGAACTTGTCAGTAACTTTGCCTCCTCCCTCTTTTGTGGTGGTTAGGCCCAATGATATGGCACCACATTGCCAGCCATTTATAAAATTTAAAGTTTTAGATAGAATTGGCTTTTTGGCTGTCTAACAGCAGAATCAATGAATTTCTACCTTTGACTGCTTCAAAGTAAAAACTAGATGTAAATGTTTAAAGCTTGCCAGTTGATTGTTTAGATAGGAGCTTTTGAGTATCGTATTGATAACACTTTCATACAAATGTAAAACATATTGTGGCAAAATCTTCATTTTATGAACAGATTATCATCTTTGATATTTATTTTTCAACTCTGTAAACTTTTTACCTATCTGGTATTTTTATAAATGTTGATTTATTCTCGCCTTAAATATAAATTGCTGTCATCTTGTAAGTTGGTTTTCCTAATATTCTAAAAGTTACTATATATATATAGGTCCACTAGATGTAGATGTATGAAGGTAAAATATGGGGTATTGTATGTATCCCTGTCAGTCAAAGGAAGGAAGGAAGGGGTGGGAGAGTACCAATTTGTAGGCCATCAAGTTTGACAAATAAATTTGGCTTGGATCCTGCCATTGGCACCCGTCCTTATCTTGTTAGCTCCCCCCCTCTTCCTTTATTGTGTCCCCTCTCATTTCTTCAATTAACTGGTGCTGCCATCACAACATAAGTGGACACACACAATGGGAGTAGATGTAATACTATAAATTAACCCACCCTTTTTTTTCTTCTTCAATATAGTCCTTAGCAAATGTATCCTGTCCCACGTATACACTGTTCTTTACAATCTGCTGTTGAGAAAGGATTAGTTGTCAAGTAACATATTCTATATTTAGATGGACATTTTGCCGGGATTTTCTCTTTAGATATTCTATATTTGTATGGCCCTTTCAATCACTTTTACAATAAACAAGAGAGGTATATTTTTCTACCTTTTTAAAAGTTTTTCCTTTTCTTGTTAGATCTTAATTCTGAGAAAAAAGAAGCTGTTTTATGTATATAAAAACTCAATGGTACACTCCTAAGTATATTCTGGACTTAAGAGAGGCATAACTTCAGATTTTAGACTACTCTGATATGGAGTGCAACTTTTTAATTGTCCATAGATCACATTAATTCGACCAATTTTTCAAATTCCAACCATTTTTAGAACCAATTTTTTTAAACTGAAGGAGTTGGTATATATGAGAGTATAAAGAAAGATGGGTTACCATACAAGGACTGCTCTATTGTGTCAGGTGAATTACCTCCACATAGAATGGGTACAACATGTGCTGTAGCGCAGAATGTTGCATACATTCATTTCTGATTCTATTCAGTTCAAGGCATAATAGATGCTTCTTTTTTTAATTAAAAATTGGCCGAAGTAGGATTTTTTTTTGGTTGAAACTTGTTCTAATTATAGTAAGTGTGTGGATATATGTAGTCTTCTGGTGAGAATTATAGATGTATAACAGGATGTAGAGATAGAAAGAAAGGTTGGTATAAAGTAGTGATGTACATGTCATTGTGTGGAGGGAGCTGGCTTTATGCCATGGAAGGTGGGAATCCTGGGGTTGGCAGTTTGCCAGGACAGATGGACTGCCTGCCTGCCTTCCGTCTTTTACACCACTGGCTGGGAATGTACATTCACAGACCTCTCACCATTTCTCCCATGTTATCACCATTTCCCCTCCCCCCTCATCCCCTTCCATTTTTATCTATTAGATAGATCTTAAAAGATGAGATAATGCAAATATAAAATTTCCAAATTGTTTTGCACTTTTTAATGATGTTAACCATGCAAAAGATGAGACGGGGGCTCTGGCACATTTGTAAGTGCAAAGTCGAACTGCTTTTCACATGTGTAGACATGTGTTGCGCTTACAGTAAAAGCAGTCGCTAACTACCCACCATGATTATCATGGCCTGTACCACGTGTACTAGGGATAAGCAAAAAAAAAAATGCAAAGAGTGTTGCATAAATATCTTCACCTTTGTAGATAATGGTATGCTTGCAAGTAGCTGGATGTAGTATTCACATGAGCTAGTACTTTGTATGTCTCTTTGGACAATATTTTTTGCTCTTGGCATATAAATGACAAAAAAGGAAGGGGGTGTCCAGTCCCATTTCCAAATTACATTAAAAATTCCCCCCTACTAGCATATAATTAATGTAATTGAGGTAAGTGCACAAGGTAATTGAGAAATTCCACATTGCGTGCCGTGGAAGCAAGTATGCCTAGAATTCAAGAAGATAGCATCAGGAAATTTCACATCCTTATAAGGAAGCGGATGTGGTGAGTTTCGCAACACCCTAGGTAATGGGTGGTGAAGAAAAAAAACCTTGAGTAATACATTTTTAACCGTTGGTGTGTCAGAGGGACCAGCAGTAATGGAATTACTGTAATTAATTATGGAAAGAGAGTGTTCCATTACAGAATGTTTATCCTGTTGCCACCCAATGCTAGCTAGGTTTTACACAATACCTGGAGAATCAACAATAATTATTGTCCTTGACAAATAAAGTTTTTTTTTTGCTTATCCCTAGTACACGTGGTACAGGCCATGATAATCATGGTGGGTAGTTAGCAACTGCTTTTTACTGTAAGCGCACCACATGTCTGCACATGTGAAAAGCAGTTCGACTTTGCACTTACAAATGTGCCAGAGCCCTGTTTGGCTACTTGCACTTGCTGGTGGGTTGGACTTTTGCAAAAATCGGGGACCATTGGCGCATTTTTCTTTTAAATCAGAAAAAAGTGCCCAATGCGGGAATCGAACCCGGGTCGTAGCGGTCGAAAACCAAGGTTTAGACCATCGTTCCACCGACCCCCTAATAAAGAAGTAAACCATTGTTGTTGGCTACCTCAAATAAGATGGTCCACTATTGATGGCTATCTCTTGAAATTTTTCCCTCTTCATTATGTACAATTATGTACAATTCCGAGTGTTATTGGATAATATTATTTGGACAAGCCAGTTTGAATGTGTGGCCAAACAGCTGTGTGTGTTGTGCAGAGTTCAAGGAAGCCTTCTCCCTGTTTGATAAGGATGGAGATGGCACCATCACCACCAAGGAACTGGGGACAGTGATGCGCTCCCTGGGCCAGAACCCCACAGAGGCCGAGCTTCAGGACATGATCAATGAAGTGGATGCTGATGGTCAGTTTACATCTCATTTCCATATCTCTATTCATATAATATTATAGTTTAGCTATATTTAGTATGCTTTGTCTCAAAGTTCACCCATAAGTGGTGGTCTGGTGCAGATAATGAACACACATGGAACAGCAATAATTCCAAATATTTTAAAAGAGTTTTGCTTGTCTATTGCTTTATTTTTTTCATTGACCCATCTATAGAAGGTGTAATTGCTATATAATTTGCCTATTTTTTGTTTTTGTTGTAAAGCAAAATAGTTAATCAAAAAGTGAAACTTAGGAAATTATAAATAAAAATAAAATGCAGCTTTATTCTTTTTTACTATATTATTATTGTTTTGTGTGATGACACCACTTGTGTGTTTTGTGCAGGCAATGGAACGATAGACTTCCCTGAGTTCTTGACCATGATGGCCCGCAAGATGAAGGATACAGACAGCGAGGAGGAGATCCGCGAGGCATTCCGAGTGTTTGATAAGGATGGCAACGGGTTCATCAGTGCAGCAGAGCTGCGGCATGTGATGACCAACCTGGGGGAGAAGCTGACGGATGAGGAAGTGGACGAGATGATCCGGGAAGCAGACATTGATGGAGACGGTCAGGTCAATTATGAAGGTGAGTGTTTTCACTGGAGGTATTCTTCTTTCTTATCTCCACACTGGGTGAAGTAGAATGTGTCTGCCTTTGTCATTAAGACTGGGAGCACTACTCAGTGGCAGGCTGACTTAGCTCCAAAATAAATGGTCACCTCTGACATGAGAAACAGACGCCATGTGCAGCCGCTCCTTATATGGAGTACAAACGCTGCTCATCCTGTATACCTGGATTAGAAGCCCTTACAGGGTACTATCAGCCAGGCCAGCTGAGCCCAGGTTTTTTAGTGAGCTTGTTACTGCTCCCCCTCCTCCTTTTTCATACAGGCTTAGGACCGGCAAAGGCGGAGTTAAACTCACTGGAGGTTATATAATTGAGTGTCGTTTTGGAAGCTATACACAACAATGTTATCAATTGTG